ATGAGCATAAGCAGATGGAGATGATTCTTCACTGATGGGGGCATAACTCAGTGGTTTAAGCCATGCTTTGCATGCACCTGAGCTAAATGATCTCAGGTAGCAGGTGATGGGGAAAGCTTCTCTGCGTCTGACAGCTTGGAGGGCCTCTGCCAGTCAGGAGGGACAGTACCAGTCAGGAGGGGCTCATAGAAAGGCAGCTCCCTTTGCTCATGTGCTGGATATGTTGTAGTGGGTAAGAACTCAGCCTGTGATCCTTGGTTGTGAGAAATGGAGTGTTAAATGTTCACAAAGGGTGCCCTTATTTGTGTCTGTCCTACAGAAGTGTCAAGTACCTAGACTTTGGGCAGGGCTGGGGAAGGATGAAAGGGGGGGGGTTAAACTTCAGCATTCTGTTTGGGCACAGGGGTGTTCTGAGCATGACAGGGCTTTGGGGAAAGGCCTGGGCTGTAACCCATTCTGGGCTTCCCTTTGCTGTAGAGTTTATTGATTGATTTGATTTGTATCCTGCCCTACCCCACAAGCGGGCTCAGGGCAGCTCACAACATATGAATATAACAAATCAAAAGATTAAAACATAATACAATCAAAATCAAAATCTGGCTCTGTGCATATGGGTGCAGATGGCAATAATCCAGTTAAATTACCTTCAGAGACTTTAACCCGTGTATGGGTGCTCAGATGTACTGGTTTTTGCAAGTGGACAGATTCCCACCAATTCCTATATAAAATTGCATGTGCATAGCACGGTAAATAGAGTGGGTGAGAAGGGAGGGGGCGGTCTCATATGGTGTCTGCTGCCTCGACCAAAGACCTGGTGGAACAGCTTCATTTTACAGGCCCTGCAGAATGGTTGTAAATTTCACAGGGCCCTGATCTCAATTGGAAGGCTGTTCCACCAGGCCGGAGCCAGAGCCGAAAAGGCTAAGCATCCTTTGGCCTGGTGACTGCCAGTAGATGTTGATCTGAAGAGCGCAAGCCTCTTTGGGGGACATTGTGGGAGAGACGGTCCTGCAGATATGATGGTCCCAGACTGCATAGGGCTTTAAAGGTCAGTACCAAAAGCTTGAGCTTGATCCAGTGCTCCACTGGGAGCCAATGCAGCTGGTGGAGCACAGGCTGTATATGTGCTCATCCTGAAGTGCCAGTAAGGACTAGGCTTACCAAACGCCGGCGGGGGAAATCTATTTCCTGGCAGGATGCGTGCCGCGGGGGACGGCTGTGCGCGCTGCACCCGCCGTCGCCAGGATGTGACGCTCCGCGTTACTCTGGCAACGGGGCTGTTTGGGTCCCCGGCGGGGGAGCGTCGCCGCGGTCCGGGAGTCGTCCGGATGTGCGCGCGTGTGCACGCGAAGCGCGCGCGCGCTGGCAGCACGTTGCCGGAAGTGACGGGCGACGTGCTGATGTTGGGGGCGTGGCTGAGCTCCCCTGCGGCAGAAATCGGGCCGCGGAAGCGGGGGGTTCCCCGCCCCCCGGCCCGATTTGGCAACCCTAGAGGTGACCAATTCATAAATCACTGTAGCTAAGTCATTGGGGGGGGGGATCGGGAGCCTATCGCCTGACCTGCCAGAAATGGCTGTGGGGAAGCCTGTTTACCCCTTCCTTTTGCACCATATGTCCTGGGAATGAATAGGTGGAGCCACAGGAAGATGTCTTTAAAGGTTATTCCCCACTCTAAGGTTTGAGTGCAAGTCAGGTCAGGCACCCATGCCCTGACACATGTCAAACATAATGTATATTTTGCCCTGAGCTAGACTTCTATTAATTTCATTTTCACAGACAGGGAACGGAGCGCGGGCCGTTGGAGATTGTTTGGGGAGTGAGTCTGCCAGAAGGGGGCTTCTCCACACATGGCAAGTCAGTCCCCCCGCATGCAGGGCAATTATTTTTTACCCAATGTGGGGACCCTGGGCCCAGAACTGCCAGCGTCAAGTGTGGCTGAGCCCTCCGGTGTGTCCCAGTTAGTCACTACCCATCCAGACCCTCTCTTGTGGGCAGTCTCTTCCATAGTCCAGCATTTGTTTGTTTGCTTGCTTGTTTGTTTGTTTACCTCATCCCACCTGCATGGGTCTTGGAAGGGAGAAAGAAACAAGCTTTTTGCAGGGTTTATTGCAGTGACGGATCTCGCAAGGATCCCATTTGGCGCTGGCCCCTTTCATTTTGCCTATTTATTTATTTGTCAAATTCCCAGATTATGACCCCGAATGGAATCTTGTGTGCTTTCAAAGCTGTGCTGATATTTCAGCCTTTAAGAGAGGGAGGGGTGTGTGTGCTGTTTTATTAACCTTGCCTCCATAATGCACTCTCCCCCCCCTCCCTTCCCGCTGATTCATTATGTGTCAGGAAGCCGAGCGTGACATGTTAAAAGCCATCTTGATAGTATTTTATATTCAGCGCTAACAACTCACTGGCTCAGAGAAGGTTTTCTTTAAGGGGGGGCGCTGCACAAGGAAAGCGAGACAATCTGCATATTGGATGTGCCAAGACAGTCGGTAATTTACATTAAGCAAGCCGAAATTCTCTCCTTGCAATCTGTCACCCTTCAGTGGCTTTTCATTTTATAACCTTCACAACAGAAGGGGGAGCAGCGACACCAACACCAAAAGCCCGTTGGAGGAACTGGCAACCTGGCTTGATATCAGAATTAGGGGAGGGGCTCTGTGGCCAGGAAGGACAAGGGAGGGTGGCAGGCAGTCCACATTACTGGACATCGCTGCCCACGGTAGCATGTGTATCCTGCTATTGCCTCTGGTCAAATGGGTTTTGTAGCTTTCTGTAGTATTTCAGAACAAAAACGACAAAACTTATTTGACCATGAGCAAAGGCAGAACGAAATGACGCTGATTATTACATCCACTCTCTTAAAAACTTCTGGTATCCAATCCAGAATATACAGCAAGCCCTAGAATTGTACACACATGCACAAACAGTAGCAGCAGCAGAACCTGAAACCTTCCAAAGGCAACAGTTTCCCAGAAAGGCTCCCAGGTACACCTGCCAGACTATTCAGGCATCTCAATCCAGAATCTGGAGGCCAGGAAACCAGTTCAAAGCCAGTGAGCACCGTGGGTGGCTGAAAGGGCAAAACACCAATCAAGTGAGGCCACAATAACAGGGAGCAGAGGGTACCTCACAGCTCATATACCATTTTTTTCCAGTCCTGCTTAAGTAGGTTTTGTGGGTTTGCTGGGCACTTCGAGCTGTTTGTGGTAAACTATACTACTTCTTCTGGGCTGGAAGCAGAGGATAATTCACTGGGTGAGGTCTACATATGGTGTGGTGTCTATTGGCTAACGTCTGTGATGTCAGTAACCCCACCTCCATCCCTAGAGCAATCTTACGCTCTTTCAAAGGTGGTTTGTTTGCTTGCAGGGTTAACTGATTTGCCAGCAGCAGTGTCCTGACATTTTGCTATCCTTTTCTCTCTCTTTTTTTTCCTTTAAAAGAAAGGTCTATCTCAGTAGACAGGGTACAGTCTTCCTCTTCTTAAGAAGAAAAAAAATCTCCTGTGGCACCTTAAGCATATTGTGACAAAAGCTTTCTTGAGCAAGAGCCCACTTTGTCAGAGGCATGAACTGTTTCTCCAAGAGCCAAACTGGATGAGACACTGGCCCCGGTCACACTAGCGGAAAAAGCCACAGCAGCTTTTTAGACCTGCAGCAAATTGAAGCGCGGCATCGGGATCAGACAGATCCCCAAGCCGCGCCGCATTTG